ACAAACAAAAGAAACCTCCTGACACACAAAGTGTAGTAGTTCAAAAGGAAAACCCAAAGAATGTGAAGAGAATCAATAGACACATGCAATTATGCATCTTTTAGATCTGAATGCGATAAACTTACATGGCCCCTGTTGAACTTCATGGGACCAACAGTGAGGTTAGCTGAGGCCTTCAAATCTTGCTAAAAGACAGCTCAACAAGATGATCCAATACGGCTCGATATTTCTTCTTTTTCTTTCTCACCTGAATTTAGAGGATGCAGAGTCTGAATTCCTTATGTTATTTCTTACAAGAACAGTATTCAAGATGTTTGAAAGTGCAATATTAGAGACAGCTCGAGTTTCAAAGGAAATGTTGTTAAAAGTTAGTGACATACAAGTGTACAAAAATGTGAATGTGCCTCTGCCTTTTCATCTCATCCCTGGACTCCTAAGATAGAATAAGGTGTTTCAATTTGATGGTAGTAATGCCATGACTCAAAAAATACAAGTCAGATTTAAAAACAATACCTCAACCCAATACACACTACATTACCTAGCCGATCATTCGTTTGTTAACTAGATTTCTGCTTCTTCTCAGCTCCCCATAAAATAAAACCCAAAAAAAGCATTGTGTGAACAGGTGATCTGTCATTGATAGAAAGAAAAGCAGCTAAAGGAAAAGTTGTTTAAGATGAGTTTATGTTACTGTGTTTTGTATTTATAGGAGCAATACAGTGAAAGAGGGATTTAAAATACAGGTTTTTATTGATTTTCCACAAAGTTCTTCTATGTAAAAGAGAGATATTACTTCCTGATGATAACCATGTATTTTATAAATTTCTATTAAGAAGCTGCACATGACTTTTTTTTATGTTTGATGTCGAATTTTTACAGTACAGCATACATCTGAATTTCAAGAGGAACATGGTAATCAAATACGAATGAAGTTTTGGACTAAGAAAAACTAATCTCCATATGAACTGACTGTTATTTCTGTTTGGGTTTTTTTAAATTGTATGTGTTACACACATGTCTGTAAGTAACCTTCGAGACAGGAATTCCTATCTGTAATTGAAGCACAACTGAAAATAAGCACATTTTCAGCTCGTTTCAACTTGCTGAGCAGTAACAATGAAAACAGACTAACTCTTACCTGTCGTGGCTGCTCTGTCACTCGCTGTGGATCAGATCTTACTTTGTTACTAGGATGATTGGTAACTTTGGTGACCGGTTGTTTGAAAATCGATGCAGTTTGTCTGATTGGTAAAGTCGTATTCAAGTCTGGTTTTCCCTGTTAAAAAAAGAAAAAAAGTGAATTAAGAAAAATTATACAGAAAAACCACACAAATTAACGTTGGATTCACCCTCTTCTACTGATGTGCAAAAGGAGGAGTCTTTTTTTTTGGAGTAAAGATTTCCCTTAAATGCTGTACTTAACTAGCCTTTGCAGTCATCCATTTTAAAGTGAAAAAAAAAGTTAACACTTGACTGGTTCCACACTTTTTCACCTTCTTGGGAAGACTCAAACTGCTTGAAAAGCCCATCTTTTCTTTTGTTAAAATACGTATGTTAACTGTGCAAGTGACTTACGTTCTGCAAAAAGACAGCTTCGCCATCAGATGTCAAAATGGAATCTCCAAAGCTTCATTAAAATATGTTTGTAGCCAACAGTTTATAGAGTTCCAAGTCTATAAGAACAGCAACTTCCTACGTAGCTTCAGTTACAAATTTCCTACATCAAACAATTCTTAATTAAGTGCAGTAATTTATTCTGGAATGAAATTAAAACTGTATCAACTTTAACAAAGTCATTTGGCAAAGCTCATTTTTATCAGGTTTGTGAACCGGTGATTCCCAGGCATCAGATACAACGTCACCAATAATATCTTGTCACACATCCAACCCTTAGGCCCGTAGTGCCTGAACCCCTCCCCCCAGCAACAACCCCAGGAGTATTTGGGGTGGGGGAATGGAATTCTCCCCAAATCCCCAAGATCGATGAAGAAAGGAAAGGGTCCATCATCACCTGCACACCATTCCAGCTGGTCTAAATCTGTCTCTCTATCCAAAAAGCAGACTGCCAGTCTGAAGGCTGTGCCAACAGAACAAGCCCCTTAGACTCCCCTTACTTAGACTCCTAACTATATGACAGAAAGCAATCTGTTGGCTTAGAAATGGGAATTAAATCTCAATCTTCAACTCCTCCATATTTAGATTATACAGTGTGGACTACACAACTTTGTAAAAGAGACTATGTTAAGAACCAGAGAGCACATGCTTGTTTAAAAATCATTTGTTCCTAAGCTGGACACTCTGGAATTCCAGACAATGAAAGTTAGAACACTGACTATAGATATTCCGTAACGATCTGTATAAAAATGAAAGTAAAAATATAGCGAGAGGCTTAGGCTTATTAAGTGATAAGCCTTCTCTTCACGGCATCTGTCTCGGATTAAATTATTATTTTAAAAGCACGTATCCCTCTTTTAGAGCTTTGCTAGAGCAACCTGGCAGGGTAGCTCCTCCATCACCAGAATGTCCTGTATTTTGGCGTACCTGTTATCGCAAGGTGGAGGGCTGATGAGAAAGGGAGTGAAGTCATTCTTCCTGTACGGGTACAGTGCATAATCTACAAACTAGCAGTGAAGAGAATATCATCCAGAGAAAGTAATTTTCATGATGAAGACCGTTCTACAGGCAAGCCACTTAATCCCCAAATACATCCTTACGCATTACAGCGGTTATTGTGTTGGTGGCTCCTATCCAACTGTGCAATTCATGTGGGTGGGAAGAGAGGCAAGGGAGGGGATGACATGATGCTACTAGATCCTTCCTGGTAGTTAAAAATGAGGAATTCCTCCATGTAGTTCTAAGGAATGTAACTGATAGGAAAGAGCAACAGAGTAACGCTTCTTATTTATCTAGGCATGTCAACATAACCTAAATGAAGGGCTAGTTTTAAAATTTCAGGCCTCAATTTTTCATGCAGATGGCAAAGAAGGTGATTGATCGAGAGTACTATGCGTATTCTTAGCTATGCAACAATATGACTCATTTATAGGTTAGCACTGCAGCATTTGGGGAATCCTTGCTTAATACTGGTTTGCTCACCCTCTCCTAAGAGCCAAACCAGTTTTCCAGACCAACAGAAGAAACATGCTAGAACATATGGGTGAATTCTGAAAGAGTTCTAGAAATCTGTTCTTTTCAACGGAAGCCATTCTGATCACAGGTCTCTGTTCCAACCACTCCTTTAAATATACTGTGTTATTTTATAGGTCCCCTTTCTTCATCTTTTCTGGGTAGCAGTTAACTCATTTAAATATAATAAGGCTAAACCCACAAATTCCAACGGAAGTCTTCCTCAGAAATTCAGGCACCTATCATTTCTGGTTTATAAACTTACAGCCAGAAACTAACCATCTCCATGTCTGGCAGTATTACTGTGTTCAGATGGGAAAAGCAGCACAGCTTCAGCTCCACCACTGTTCATTCTTGTCTAACTGGGACCAGGGTTTCCACAGCCAAAGCAGATGGCAACAGAACAGGAGTACTTCTGCCCAATCACACTTAATAGGTCTAACCAACCAGAGAAATTACCATTCAGTTAGCACAGAAATTGTGAGAGCTTTTTATACAAAGTGGAAGTGAGAATCTAAGCTTATAAATAAATCTAGACATCAATCTTCTCCTAATGTTTCACCCAGGTAGTCCCAGTCCACTAGAAAAATACTTTCAGATACTTCGGTCATTGCTTTTAGCATGTGCTTTGCATGGTGGGTATTCCCCACTGATGATGACAACAGGAAGTCTAATGTTAGACTTCGTATATATTTTCATATATAATTAAAGCACCTCTGATGAGCACAGAATCACCAACTAGAGCTAGACAGTACTCGCACGTACTTAAATTTGCACAAAGTATTTTGAGGACGAACTTCCCACATGCCACATAACTTAATTCACCCCAGAACCTTGATAGACCTTGCCTATCCTACAAGCTTCACATTCCCTGATCTTGTGACATCAAGTTCAAAGTAGTATTTGAAGCTTTGAAGTCCATGCCCCCAGGGCATTCTCTGCAGGAGCATCAGTATTAGTGGTAAAATACCTATTAAAACTGACAAACCCAATAATATCACAGAGCCGTCTGCCATATGGGGGTAAGTATGGTTTAGCAAACATTTCTAGAACAAAGGTCTTCATTTCAAGTTCATGAAAAATATTCACAGGTTCCTTTTGGCCAGTAATGTGACTTGAAGAGGAGTTAAAAAAGAAATCCATTAAACTTAGAAAAATAAAAAGGGAGATTTCTTCAGGCAGCGTGAGAAATTCAGACAATTCAGCTACATTAATGATATGGCCCCCAGAATTAAAGTGAAACTCTGAGAAACTATGCAGGAAACACAGGTTCAAGGGCTAGATGTCCCATATACTTCTTACTGAAGCTACATACTAGAAAATGGTCACTAGGATAAACTAGTTCTTAAACTAAGAACAGATCAATTCCTAAGTACTATAATTATAATCTTAACCACCTTTCTATTTTATTTCCTTTCTGCTCATAGTCATCTCTGGGCTTTCTGATCTCATCCTAAATAAACAGTCTCTCATTTGTGGCACCGAGTTTTGAACAGCAGAAATAAACTCTGTAGTACAGAAACTTGCTAAGCTCACCCGTCTCCAGCACCTGCAGATCTTCAGATGTACAGGGGGAAAAAAAAAAAAAAAAAATCATTGCACGTTAACAGGAAGCGACTGATACTCGGAGAAACTCTTTTTCACAACATATCATCAGCCAGCCAGCCATAAGATTTATTCACAACAAAGGAAAAGATTCCAGTACATCCTAACAGAAATAAGTAACAGAGATCCCTACAACACCACCTCTCCTGAAGAACAGAAAGCTCTTTTGAGCTTTCCAGATAAAGACACTCTCTGCATGTTCCAAATGGTCAGACACAGATTACTTCATTTCCGATGGCGATTAAGCTCACGATATTCAGTTCCAGGCACACCTACAAAACTGCAGCCTTCAGAAACACAGACGTACTGCGGGCTTTTACACTGCTTGACCGCTATCACAGAACAAAGTCTCTTCCTACTCTGGGAACTACAGCAGTGTATCAGCTAGCAGAAACGTTCCCCGCTCGTTTTTACTCATCAGGAGTATTTTATGCTCCAACAACAGCTTCCAAAAGAATTTCAGTCCACTGCCTTTGCAAAGACACGCATTTCTAGAAGCATCAATGTGCCCCAGACATAAAAACATTTTAAAACCTCAGCAATGCATTTGTAGGCCCTCCAGATCCTTTAACCTAAGAAGTCACTTACAAGCAGACGGCATGTTTAACCAGTAGCCTCTATTATGATTTCTTTTCAACAGAAAGAATTGATAAGCATATTTTTATATAATCACAGCAGTACGTCGTATCTACTGGATTCATATTCAATTGTATTCCTTATTTCATTGCCTCTTTGAAAGCACTGCAAATAAATAAAGTAACTCAATTTGCAAGTGAAATGTAAAAATGGTTACACAGAAGCCAATGGGAAGATTAGCATAGGTTGAAGCAAAACTCCTACCGTAAATAAACGTATCAAATATATGCCTTTACTGCCAACACTGAAAGGTCAGGAAGAACGCACAAGGCTAGGGTTGGAGGTAAGTATTTTCTTGAAGAATATTTCCACGTCGTTTACACTGTTGCCCATTAACATCACAAAATGAAGAGCATTCATTAGCATATACTATCCCCAGGGCCATTTTGAGCCCGGTGGCATTTACTGTGTCAGTCTTGACATTGAGTTCTAGTCCGTCAATGATGAGAATCTCAAAGGTTACAAGTATGGCAAGACAGCATTTCCATCCACCAGCTGCATAAATCCAACTGCCTAGACACGTCTGAGAAGGAAGACTCAAGTCTATTTTGCTATTCCTTCTTGAAACATAAGGGGAGCCAAAGAATTTAGAAAACATTTGTGGTAAATTGTTTGTACAAAACCAAACAACCCATCAAATATGAACAAGTTTATACACAAACTTGCCCAAGGGAGTCTGGCTTTTATGGCCCCCCAGCAGCACGGCTGCAAGGCAGGCCAGAAGATGACCACAACCAATGTCTTTCAGGATCTGTGGAAGAGAACGTAAACTTCAGGAATAAGTTGAGATCTCATTTTTAACTATCACAGGAATACTGGAGAAATTCTTGCAAGCTCATGAGTTACAGATTCAGTCACTCAGAATAATAAATGTTATTTACCTAAAAAAAAAAGCATTTCTTTCTAATCTTGTATTTAACAGAGCTACTGTGAGTAACATTCAAGTAATCTAAGATCACAGGAATACAAAGTGAGCACAGACTCGTCTAGGCTCTATATACCAAATTTTGTAATTTCTGCTCATGCCAAAAACCTAACCAAAGCCTTTTCTTGGACTACCCCCAAATGTTATATCATTTGAAAGCCTGATATCTGTGGGAAGAAAATATTAAATAATTTGAACACATGCTTTAAATAAAAATGAAATCAGCATGAAATGTGTGGTTCACGCATTACAAACGGCAGATGACAAAAAACATCAGTGCACAAGACATAGCTGTAACTTGTTAGGTATTTTCATACACCACTGTAAATTATGAAATCCTGAGGAATAAAACAGTTTAAAAAGAAAACATTGCAGGTTGTTATAGAAATCCTTTCAAACTGTTGTATGAGGTTTCTGAAGTTTCTCCAGGAACATATTATGAGCATCAGCTAAATTTACTGGTCATGTCCCTATGTGCTACCTCAGTTATTTCACTTCCGTATGCTTCACTTCTATTCTTATACATTTTCTTCAGTATTCACTGTTGTTCAGAAAGAAACAGACAACAATCAGATCAATTGAGAAAGGCCCAATCTTAAACAGAGAAACACCTGGCCTTGTTAAGCTACATAGCTGCACACAGACATCCAGATTTGTACAGATAAATACATTTGCCTCAGCAAACAAGCTTCCTGGCACATACTGCACACATTCAAAATGTGAACTATTTCATCTCAGAACAGGAAGATGAACATAGCAATTTGAAGCCTTGCACAGGAGAATCTCTTGGTGTCGACAGTCCTAACTCATCCCATTTAGAGGAATATCATTCAGGCAGATGACTAGCACTGAGGTTCTTATTCCCAAGCCAACTCCTGAATTACTCAAGCTTTTGATTCATACTTAACCTCACCTTAGTATTTTCTTGGTGGTAGCAGAGTATTCCTTCTATTTATAAATTTACATCTCTACCACTACTAAATATTAAACATACATTTACATCTTAGAAGCGGACTGCTTTAAGCAGAAAAGAAATTGCTAAATGAACTACAGGCAAGGAAATTCTTAGGATATCCTTAAACACAGTATTTACTAACAAACCTTATTTTGATTGAGAGAATCATTCCTTAGTCTCTGTTTGTTCTTCTGCAATTTACTGGGCATCATCTTTCCCGTTCTGAAGTCAAAACTGCTGAGATCAACAGTGTTTCCCAGGTATCTTGCCAACTGAGGCTTGCTTCTGAACTTCTTACCACTTGGACTAAAAAGAAGAAAACACTTTAGTATGTTTTGTTGTACAAGAAGATACAACCTTGACTTCTTATAACAGGTTTTATACCTTGTTAAATACCTAAAAAGTTTCCATTATCTTTATTCCATGTGGCATGTTCATTGATGGGTTGATTAGTGATGGTATACCTGCCCAGCCTCTGCATATCCACTCCCATCCTTTGCGCAGGATTTAATTTCTGTGTCAGGCTGTTGGACGCCAGGATACGCTAGACCTTGGGAAGCTGGCTTAGCAGTATGGCTAAACCAAACTCCAGTATAAGAAGTATCAGTGTCAGGCTGTGGCCAAGCGCAGGACCCTCTCTGCGCAAGTGTGAAGACCGTAGGCGAAGTTTAAACTGACTGCTAGCGAAGGCCAACCTAGACTCAACAGCAACCCTTCTCAGCTATCAAACAGCAAGGCATTAAACCGATGCACAGAACTGGGGTTTGAGGTGACATCTCTTAGCTATTCAGTCACTAAGACCGGTGAGCAAAGCCAGGTAAGTAACTGAGCAGCAAGCAAGCAAGCAGCAAGCAAGATGATGCAGAATGTGAAACAGGTCCAAAGCTGCAATTGTGTGCAGAGATCCCATCGTAACAAATGAAATCAGGTCTAGGGAAGTCATTTCAATCATCTTCATTTGGAATGATGGAATTACGATTGCCCTGAAGTCCCAGCTGACCTTCTTGAGTAACATCAGCAAATGCCCAATTTCCAGTTACCCTAAGGAAACGGTCTGTCTACTGATCTTCACATCACAGAACTTTCTGTCCCCTCATCTCTACTTTGTTCTCAAGCATCCCGAACCCAGGCACGCACATTGTGCACACCCTGCCTGCACTAAATATGCATTTAATCCATGCGTATTTTCACCAACCTCACTGGGGCTCCCTCTAGACTTACTAACCAGTTTGCATGCCCTGTGTGCAAGTCACTGCTCATAAGCACCTTACTGACAGAAGCAATACGGCTCATTTCACTGTAAGGGACAACGGTGCTGCCCCCAGATTTAAAAGCTTGGCAGAAAATGAAGTATCAAGAACAGCTCTGTAAAACTCAGACCATAACACCAGTTTGTGATAGTCTCTTAGTATAGATAGCCGTGAAAATGGCTAAATACCTGTCATGTGAAGGCAACAGTCCCTTGCTCTAATGCAAATTTCTATCCCATGGAACACATCAAGTGTCAAGATCTTCCCACTACTGAAACCCAAAAGGTTAACTGAACTCAGAAGGTTTTTCATGCCACTTCCTTTCTGCAGAAAACTACTGGAGATTTTTGTTTTCTTCACTTTTCCAAAGTGATGTTGTTTTGTTTTTTTTTTTTAACTTAAAAACACCTTGAGGCAAGAACTTCCCCACAGAATACATATTGAATTCTGGGAAAAACAGCTAATTAAGCCAAACATTTTTCAAAGTCATTTATATGAATCCAGAAATATGGAAAGACCTAATTAACAAGAGGTAAAGGGTGGGAGAAAAAGACTTAAAACAGATCACAATCAAGGATGGGTATGTGGGGGAAATAAAACCCAACCCACCACACATAGGTACACACACACACACCCCACCACAAAACTCTTTCCTACTTCTTGTAAACCAAGAACTGAAACTATGCTATAAGCCAAATTAAACACAACCCCAGTTTTATTTTAGATAGTGGAGATTAACACTCTGCCTTGTTAACAGTAGGACAAATTCTGCACTGAAAGTCAGAGAGAGAACAAGTCTTTTGGGGGGCAAGTACAGTTGCTGTTAAATTAATCTGACCCCTTGCCTTTCATTCCTATTCAGGCACCTATAGGAAAAGTTCAGGATAAAACCTTGTCAAGAATTGCTGGCTGCCTCGCTGAATGTCCCTGTTTCCTTACAGACTGGAAGGGCTGAATTTACTGAATAAAGCCTCCTGTTATTAATTGTTTTCCCGGCTTTCCTAGTGAACATAAAGCACTGAATGAAAAGGAGGAAACAATGACTATAAGCAAACCCTGAAGTTGGTGTTAATATTCTCTGTTCCAGGCACTTTTTTTTTTTTAATTGAAACCTATATACACTCAGTCATTTTAGCCCATTGTAGCTATTGAAAGGATATAGAAATTTGACACCCTACATCTTCTATTATATCCTAATTTTGGTACCAAAGATGAAACATGCTACCTTTCATTTTTGCCATGTCGCCACTTTCTGTTGTTCTGTAAGAAGCTCACAGACTGCGTCATCAAGACAGCACTCTTTGTACTAGCTCTCCTCCTCAAGTTCCTTGGAGAGAGATGCTTCATGTACACCTCGAAGGAATCCAGAATTCCAGCAGTGAGCACTTATCAGCCTAGCTTCACTAAAAATTCTTCCTGTAGAACTTTGGAAACAAATTTCACAAATAAAAGCAGACTTTATAAACACATCCAACATTCCTAAATTCCATTATTTACACATCTAACATTTTGGGGGGGGGTCTCATTTGGTTGTTTTGTTCAGTAATCTAAAAGCAAATCAAAGCATACGATCCAATATTCCATATTAGCGCCTGCATGGATCATTGGTAGGGCTGGTATTAAAGGCTTTTTCAATCCACAGCACAAAATCTCCCATTTAAGTTAACAGCGAAACCCTTAGCAGGGACAGACTGCAATCCATTAGCAAAATATCTAGTTTCACCTTAATTTCAGTGTTAAGAAGAACTGCATTTTTGTGCCGAGATTAAAAAATAAAAAATACACAAATTAAAAAATAATCCAAGACAAAAAAGCAGCAACTGAAAACAGGCATTTTTTTTTTTTTTAGTAGAAAGTGTTTGACATTCTGTCCCATAGCTTTTGCTTCCACGTTTTCCCACACTGGTGTGAAGGATGACAGGCTTGCTCTGTCTGGCCTTGACCTGACATGACAGGAGCAAACAAAAAGGGCAGGCAGAGAGCAATCTGTCCGCCTTAGCTTCGGTCGCCACTTCAGTCGAGTACATATTCTGGACTTTTTTTTTTTACATTTCCCTTACTCCACCACTCATTTCTCACCATCCTACTCCTTTTCCAGACGTTGCTGCCTCCAGTCAGCGCTCAGTGACCACAGTACCTCCCTGTCTCCGCAGAAGTATGTCACTCCTTGGCATCCCACCACGTTCATATTGTTGTCAATGCATCTCTTCCTTCCAAGTGGTGAATCAACCATCTGCCCTCTCTGACAAAAAGCAGAAATTCTTTTTCTTAGTCCTTAAGTCTTCTACTCCTTAATATTTTCATTCTGAATCATCCCCTTATCTTCAAAATCATCCAATTCCTCCCGATGATTTTCTGCTCCTCACTTGTTCTGATGACATCCCAGGTATGAAATTTGCTCACGCTGCATAGCGCACGCGGCTTGCGCGGCCACGTTAACAGACATCACTAACAGCCTGGTGCCAAAAATATCACCCACGCAACTCCAACAACCAAGAAGCCCTTGTTTTATCATAACCTATTACTGCCTCCTCTTCACCCCATACCTTAGCCATCTTATGAAACCTGCCGTGTTTTCCATTCTCCAGCTTCGACGAAACCTAAGGACACACAATTGAAAAGTGCAGTTCACTGAAGCCCAACAGCCTGAGTAGCATTCTTTCTGCTTACTTCAGAACAGTATTTTGGCACAAACGCCAAATTTCTACTATGAAACTACGTGTCATTTGATTCCATTTTCCACAGAGGCCCTTACCCTTAATTGTTCTTCATTTCAGAGTTTCAGCAAGTTCATATGATGTCAAAATACTGGAGAAAGTACATGCTCTGTAAGCCTTCTGGTTCAACCTCAGTAGCTGGCAAACAAATACCCGCTGGCCTCCCATTCACTCTCAAGGCTGCCATTTTTTCTAACATCGTCCCAACTCATCATTTCAGATGTCAGACTTTCCCCCTGCCCTGAGAGGGAGATGCATACACGAACTGGAAGGATTTGAATAAACTCAAAACTTTATTTCCACCCCACCTGTATTAGTTTTCACATATATTCATTTTTTTCACTACCAGTCTTGTAGTTGTTTCCATTTTCTACTCTGAAAGTGTAGGCTGTCAAACCACTAAAGTAATGCCTTAATTTCTGAATCATTCCCAGATTATCTTCAATCTCTAACCTGCTCCTGCTGCAAAGCTTTCTCTTACCTGCAGAGAAAGCTCCATGAGGTTAAAGTCAAATAAAAGGCCTATTTGCAGAGGCTTTATTTGAACATCTATTAAATAATTAGTATGCACTAATGGAAAAGAGTGAGGTTATAGAACCTATTTAAGACAGGATGTCTACATAAAAACATGCTACTTACACATCTTGGCTGAAACTAAGAAACAGCACGTTCTTTTTTTTTTTCCCCCCTCTAAAGGTGTGAAAACCAAGCTTAAGTTCAAATTTAGTTTCGAGTAGCAAATGAAGGTGGATGGAGAGGTATTAAGCTTTCTTCTCTCTGAGTAGGCACTCTGGATGATTCTCTGGAGGTATCTTAGAAGTCAAACTGAAAGGACAATGAAGGAAGCTCAGCCTTTGAAGTCACACTTGCTGCAGAGGATTTTTTAAATGCATTGTTCTGAATTCACATACTCTAAAATTTCAATTGCTACAACAAGTCAGAAGCATGGACCGCTGCGTTATTTTAAGGAAACTTTACACAGATATGGGAGACACCAGTAAAATTTGCCTTCATCCACAGGTTCTGCACATTCATTAATCTTACACTGACTTCTTTCATGCAACAAGAAGCAAGTGAAAGCGTTCTTTCAGGGTGCTGTGACAACGCAGCACCTCTGGCCTGACTACGTTGCAGCGTGACCCAACATTGAGACAATTTCGAATCGCAAGATCAACGTGGGATTACACAGCAATATCTCCGCACAGAATTTCAACAATAGCTTGTGGTAAGACTGTTCTTTTTATAAGCATTAACTAGAAAAAGTTACGAGTATTTAGTCTTACCTAAAGACAGTTCATTTTCTATAGCTTTTTAAAAAAATTTATTAATTTCAGTTAGA